AACAGGTATTAGTTTTTCTTTGAATGTTTGGTAAAGCTTGCCAGTCCAGGACTTTTGTTTGCTGGAAGTTTTTTGATCACTGCTTCAATTACATTGGTTGTTATTGGCTTATTCAGGTTTTCTGATTCCCTGATTGAGTTTTGGAAGAGTGTATGTTTCCAGCAATTTGCCCATTTGGCCCAGGTTGTCCAGATGCATATAGAAGTTCATAGTATTTTCTTACAATCCTTTGTATTTCTGTGGTGTCAGTTGTTACTTCACCTCTTTCTGATATTATTTGTGTCCTCTCTCTTGGTTTCTTGATGAGTCTGGCTAAAGATTCATCAATCTTATTTATCTTTTTGAAAAACTAGCTCTTCGTTTCATTGATCTTTTGTATTGTTTCTTTAGTCTCTCTGTCATTTATTTCCACTGTGATCTTTACTATTTCTTTCCTTCTACTTACTCTGGGCTTTTCTTGTTGTTCTCTTTCTAATTCTTTTAGTTGTAGGGTTAGATCATTTATTTGAGCTTTTTCTTCTTTCTTTAGGTAGGCCTGTAATGCTATGAACTTCCATCTCAGGACTGCTTTCACTGTGTCCCAGAGATTTTGTGTTCTTGTGTGTTCATTTTCATTTGTTTCCAAGAATTTTTTGACTTCTTCCTTGATCTCATTGGTAACCCAGTCATTGTTTAATAACATGCTATTTAGCCTCCATATGTTTGAATGTTTTTAAGATGTTTTTTATCATAGTTGATTTCTATTTTCATGCCATTGTGATTTGAGAAGATGCTTGATATGATTTCAATCTTTTTGAACTTGGAAAGACTTGTTTTGTCTCCTAACACGTAGCATAACACACATACACAAAACAACTAATGCCTTAGATTAAAAGAAATTTTTTTTGCTGGTGAATCAAGAGTGATTCTTGGCAAGAACCTGTTTTCCTTAATCTCTGCAGCTAAATTAGCTGGTGGAACCAGCATGTGTCTGGCCTGATTCTGTACACTTGTATTAAGTCAGTTTTTAAAAAATTCCCAATGATACTAAGTGACTATATAATACTCATAATCTAAAAAAAGTCTATTTAGTAAAGCCTCATTTAATTACAAACACAGAGGTAATAAAGAGAGTGTAAGTCCAAAAATATGCATATGTATTCTACTATTGCTAAATTATCACACAAATGTAAGACAATATTTTTTTATCATCACCATCATCAGGCCTGGCTAAAATGACAGATGCACTAAAAGTACTGTTTAGATCTCTTCCGGTTTAAAGTAAGTTTCAAAATTTAATCCCTAAGGCCAATGATTAAAGTTATTTTTTTAAAAAATCGAGGCAATGAAGAAGTAAATGAGATTAAGCATTTCATCTGTGGAAGACTACATTCAAAATTATACTATATGCTAAACTTCAAACAATATCTGTAGCTATCTGAATTTGAAAATCAGACTAACATTTTTAGAAAAGTAGATTGAGGAGAAAACATAACATCCAATTCAAAGCAGACTGCAGGGGGAAATGCCAGAAGCCAATGACTGACACTTGTTGAACTGACCAAAATAACTGGTATCTGTCTCCCAGGGCTCATGGCCTCAGGGTGCTGCTGATATGTCCATCTCCTCTGCGATGTGGAACTGCCTCCTGATAAGAGATTCTGTAATCACATTCCCAAGGAGCAACTCCAAGACAGGCCCATTTGTGGAATTCCTCTCGGAAGTGAAGTTACAGAATGTCACAGTAGTTGTTTCCACAGAACTCTTTTTGTTCTAGACTCAACTCCTGCTTTTATTGCTCAAGTATGGAATTTCTATAATTTAAAGCTGCCCTTTTGGGAATCTGTTTTCATTTCTCAAAAATGCACTGTAGACTGCGTTACGTTCTTAGGAACCAGAATTGGAGATTGTGACTCAGGCTCCACTGCTTTGCTTAATGCTTTGAGGCTGGTGTCACCTTGGGAAGTACTATGCTCTTTTAAAGATGCTGCTAGGGGCAAATGTCCAAGCCAATGCCCTATAATGAGGGGGCCAGGGCAATGGACCTAACCCATGGGGGACTGGTGGTTGCTCAGTGGGGAAAGAGTAGTTCTCCACAGCAGGCAGACAATTCTCTTTTTTACTAATTATTGTATGTTGACCTCATTCCTAGAAAGTATGCTATATAAAAAAAAGTTTCCCTGCCCTGATGCTAAAATTATGTACACATCTGAGCGCCCTATACTAACTGACTCTCTTATATAAGTGCTGGGGTAAACAGCAGCCTTTTCATCATTGTTGGTGGGCTATATTAAGAACAGCCTTGTAAGTTAGATAGGGGGGCATTAGGCAATGATTCTTAGTCTAAACATTATATCACTGGGCAGCTTAGTATATTGGTCAAAAGCAAGGTTCTGGGTTCCAATCCCAGCACTGCCACTCAGCTGAGTGACCCTGTGGGAGTTAAATCAACCTCTCCATGCATCAATTCCTCCTCTCTATGTTGGGGATGATAGTAGCACCTAGTCACAGGGTTTTTGTGAGGATTTAGAGCTAATGTAAAGTTAGAACAGTATCTGACACAGTAAATGCCATATAATTATTTGCTATTATTTTTCTATATATTCTGAATTCAATTAACATTTGATTATATAATGCATAGATTATTTTCTGCAAGTTTTCAATTCTGTGATAATGAACCTTGCCATTCAAAATCTTCCTTCCTTCCTTATCCTCACCCAAGGAGTGAGGATATTTTTCCACTGATTTTAGAGAGAGTGGAAGGGAGGGAGGGGAGAGAGAGAGAGAGAAACATGGATGTGACAGAGACACATTGATTGGTTGCCTCCCACATGTGCCCCAATGGGGGTAGGGATTGGACTTGCAACCCAGGTACATGCCCTTGACCCTCGACCCTCTGGTGTGCAGGCAACACTCTAACCACTGAGCAACTCCAGCCAAAATCTTTCTTGAATGCTTTGTTTTCATACTCATCTGCTAAATGTTTGGGATTTGAAAAAAAAGAAAAAAAAAATCTGTTGGGAAAGTAAATCACCGGCCAAAATTTAACAAGCCAAAAGCCATTCTTCCTACTGTTTCCCTCGTGAACATGGACTTTACAAAATGGGAACTTGAAAAAAGTCACAGCTTATTTCTTTTTTAAGCCTTTGTCAGGCAAAAAGAGAGAAAGACTAAGTGCAGTGGTAATGAAAGCAGAGGACTCCAGGCGGCCTTCCACAGAGAAGGATGCTGTACCCTGCACTTCCTTTCAGGGCCAGTCTTGGGACAGGAAGCCTGCCCCATGACCATGGCTTCCTAGGAGGCCCTGATGGGGGAGCTTCTTGTCCCACTTCCCCTCATGTGGTTTACTCCTTCCCATGCTGCCTGAGAGGGGGCCTCTGTGGTCCCCCCCCCCCCC